CCAACCGCCAACAATTAAATGCATGGCAATGACTGTTTATAAAAATACGAGTGCAATGAAGAAACTTGCATTTTTACCTCACCCTAAAGATATATTAGATATCTCAAGTACTTATAGCGCATAGAAATATGTATCGAAAGTCGTATAGAGCACTTATGTATATCTCGAATGAGTTTGCACATCGAAATTGCCTGTTTGCCCATCCGCCCATTCAGAGAATAATAAAAATAAATTTTTTCTTCTTATCTTTATTGCAGAGATTTTAGTTTGAAGTTTTAATATTCCGAAGTACTCTTATATTGCTCAGCGATTTTCTCAAGAAATTGAAAAAATTTCAAACCTTTTTCTTTGATGAAGCAAAGCCAAATATTTTTCATAGAAAATCGTATCCCAAGACCAAATTCAACTGATTTCATTTAATTATCTCTATGGGTTTTGTTTTATTGATCTAGCATTTTGATATTTAATTATTAATCGTTAATAACATAATTAAATTTTTTCGGGCTGAAGTCTAACTTGTTGCCCTACGTCACTTGTGGTGCACGGTGGTGAATAAGGGTACATTAAACGACTTAAAACAGACCAAGAGGATTTTACTGTAGCAATCAATACAGAATTATTTTCTAAACCACTTGAAACCAGTCTATCCATATGTCCATATGTTGTCAGTTCCGAATCGGTTTTGAGAAAACTTGATATACAGAGATCTTTTGATCCACGGACGAATGCACGGATCGAACCAATTTTACGACCGGTCATCACGCAACGCCATATTATGAGAAGTCATTATGAATCGTTATATTGTCCTTGATATTGTACCTTGTCCGACTGCAATGTTCTTATATGTTAAGGTCTATATGACTTGCATGACTATGATGCAACATGCAGAAGAAGTTGAGATAGACCCATCATTTATTTTATCGATCCATCTAGAATCACTTTTTGCATCGATCTAAACGTGTCTGTCCTGTGTCCAGCCTGTATGTCTACTTGCTTTCTTGTATTCAACCTGCAGGTCACAATTTTTTATGAACGCCCTTGCAAATAATCTGGCTGGAATCAGTAGTAGAGTAGTGATTTCGATCACTACTCGTATAAAGGCTTACGCTGAAGATTCGTTCTATGAAAAACTATATTACACGAAATGACGTAGCACCGCATCCCACTACTGAGTTTCTAATTGTTTTGTATAAGAAATGCTCCAATCTTCCATATAATAGTTAATAAAAAAACGGCAAAAAAATACGTAGGAGTGCTGTAATCCGGCAAAGTGGGACATCAAATACCCTACACTACAAAAACAAATTCTCATTTCATTTTTGGCATATAACGCATTATTTTTCATTAGAATCCTTATATGAGTTGGAATCCAAAAAACCAAACCAATGTGAAAACTCTCTGAGATTAATTTTTGCCTGAAATTGTTAGTATGAACGAGTTTTCATCAACACATACTGAATGTTAGGCGTTTTTATTATAGGTTCAGTTTTCTTGGGAACAGTTACACGCGTAACCCGTAATAGGATGAGTTGTCAAAAAATAGCACGATCCGAACCATTTTCAATCACGTTCTTCTTTGGGCCAAATTTTCTCAAAATACCTCAAAACTTGCATCCTGGCACCATCAGAAAGACAGACGGACAGACAGCCCTAAATCGATTCAAAAAACCATTCTAAAATTGATATCAAAACCTTATACTTTATTCGATGGGATCTTCGATACTTATTTCTGAATATTACGAATTGAATGATATAATTAGTACATCTCTAAACGCTGGTTGGTAAAAGTTCATTATTAAATAAATTATTACTTAAATCAAAACGAATTGTTAATTACAAAAATGATCGAATTGTTTACATATATAAACAGTGAAATAACAAAATTGAAAGGTATAATATTATAAAAATTGTTCCCAAGGCATCAACAGTTATGCATTACTGCATCATGCTTAACTTAGTCAACGTATCTGCATGCGCAGCACAAGTGATTTAGTCATGTTCGCATCAAATATTGCAACAAATATGAATAAATTCTAAATCAATTTTATTATGTAAGAAAATTAAATTCAGTGGGGACCGAATCTTTTATACCCATCACCGTTTACCCCAAAAAAACACAAAAGAAGTAAAAGAACAAAATTCTCATGCTCTATAATATGGAGTGCGCACAGTCGATTTCTTCTATTTTCAAAACAAAAGTTTTCGTCGTATAGGCACATGGGTGACGTAGGCGTGTCCTTCGAAAAGCATAGGCCAATTCCAAACACAATTCCAAGAGAATATTTACAACAGACATTGCATAGACGAACAGACGGACAGACGGACATGCTTACACCGACTTAGGATTTGATGCCGATCAAGAATATATATAGTCTGTGATGTCTATGGTGCTTCCGTGACGACTGTAGAAATGTCTATGAATTTCTTACAAAAATCTCCATAATCGGTAAAAAGTAGAAAAGGTGTGAAAAGTTTTCAATATGCGTTCATTAATAATCGCTACAAGATTATTGCACCAAGATGTCTGATTCTTTACTTAAGTCATCACAATCCAAGGTTTGCTTTAACATGATCATAAGTTTGTCTTCTTTATACACTTAAATTTCCAGGAGGTGGGTGGAAAACAGTTTTAATTCGATTTGAATAAATAAATACCGTGGGAAACATCAAATTGCGTCTCTCTATAAAACGTGAGAAAATTTCGTTTCCCATCGGTAAAATTTTCAAAATATACGCAGGTAACTCGAGTAAGCTTATGAAACATGATGACTCTTTCAAAAAAATATTATGAATTAGCAAATAAGGATAACCGCGTCGAGTTTTCGAGTTGAAGCAATTTCAAAATTGGTTTGTTTTTACGGATTCCTAAATAGTGATACCGGGGGCCGTTTAATTAATGAATTTTTATTTACTTTATTTAAGACCTTTTTTAACAGACGGCATAATAAGATGACCTAATAATAAAATGTCGTCCAGAAGAGAATATTTCAATATTCTATCCTAATTAAGACAAAAATATAGTCCCGATAGTGACACTTTCATCAACAGGTTAAACAGAAATGAAATGTTTCGTGTACGTTTTCTTGAAACGAAAATCCGATTAATTTTTCTTTTAAATTTTAAGTGTATCGACTGTATTGCACCTATCGACTCTGCTGCACATATTCAAAGCTTGTGGTCAGATGAGGATGACTTTAAATACACTACCCAACTTAAAGTAATTCTTCATCTATCCACAGAGCAAATCTCCAAAATATATATGCTTTGTTGCCACTTAAATGACAATCTTTATATTTTTCTTCCTGCCACTCAGTGGTTGTCGCCTCTACGTATAAAAATATGATCGTCAGAAAGAAGTGGGAAAAATGAATAACACAGGGAGTGGCCGCAAAGTGAGTTTGTGATCAATCGACGACAATTACGCTCAAACGGTGGCTGCGAACACCAACTTGATAGTTGATATTCTTACTTACGCGGCTATGCGGCAGGGGAGAAGTTTAAAAAATAGATTTATGCAAACTTATCACAATACTTAGTTACAATTTATCACAATACATTTGTAAACCAAATCATTAGCTCAGAAATTGTTTCTGAAACAAAACAAGTGTAGGGATTAAAAAAAATATTATCTTCTATCGATTTTTGTTCAGAAATATTAAAACTCGCAATTATTTGTCGCTTTTTTCTCTGTAAGGCTTAATGGAAGGATTTGATCGAACTCATTTTCAATAGTGTTTGTCTCTAAATCAAAATATAACAGTTCTTATTAAATGCAAGAACACATGGACAAGCGTTAGGCCGGCAAACGAGCGATTGATATAATAAAAGGCGGATCTATCTCAAATCGTGCTCAGTGTTGCAAATATCTATGCACACTTAATATCACAATACCACAGGTAGAGTCAGATAAAAAAGCGCTAGTGATTAAAATATATAATACTTATATAAACATAAGCTTAAGCAAAAGATATTGGATCACTAAAGGAGAATCACTGTAGTTTTTGTAGTAACTAGAAACAAACTTCGGAGATACAATTTTATATGGATCTTGTTAGTTCAACATGAATAATTTTTCATGTTTGTCGGAAAAATTGACGACTATTGACGAATGTGATTTTAAAACTTTGTCTATCTCTAGCTTCGATAGCAAATGTTGAGGCATAGGATATGATAACTAAATATATATAAAATAAATATAAATTTTGTTAATGATAATAAACAATCAATAAAGTCATAAAAAACATGAAAGCCATGTGTACTTTTCATATTATTTACTAAGGGATCTTGTAAAAGAAAAAAAGCCTAAAAGTATGCTCAAAAAATGAAAAATATTAACGTGTAAGAAACAACAAACAGTTCAACGCTCCTTTCATAAAGCAAGACAAAAAAAAGGTTTAGACCGAAAATTGGAAAAAAACGGATATGATTATAAATTGCAGAGAGAAGTGCAGAGAGAATATTTAGAATCGCCGACTGAAATATATATATTCTCTAAATTCAATCTTGATATTAAATTCAGAATAAACATAAACTTAAGCATCAATATGAGTTTAAGGAAAATAAAATAAACTTTTATTTTTTTTGAGATATAGGTTTTATTTGTTCTGTTATTCAATAGATACAAGATTCATGTAAAGGTTATTTAAATGTGTTAACCTTCTTTTTAAATTTTTCTTCATTCAGAAATATTTTTTTCAAAATTCGCCTTTCTCTAGCAATTAGACAAGGGCATTACTACTATAAATAACCCAATAAATATTATTAATTATTAAAAAATGAAAAATAAGCAATTTCTTTTTTCATTTAACCATGCAATAATTAATTGGTTTAAAAACGAAACTTAAACTTAATAAGACTTTATGTGTTTCAATCTTTCGATTTTAAGGAAAATTATATACAAGGCAACCAGAAAATTTTACCAAAAAAAGAAAACGTACTGAAAATTTTAAAGAAGATTTCATTTTAAAGATAACATTGATAAGCGATTTTCTTTTTTTATTCTTTACGTTTTAGATATTAGTTTAAATTTTAAATTACAAAAACAAAAAAAAAAAAGGAATGCTCATGTATGCTCTATGTACTGTACTCCGTTATCTAGCAAACATGTCCAAAACAATTCATCGGGATTGCTAAAATGCATTTATTATGTGGACCTGCGTTCTGGTTTTCTAATCCATAAATCTAAATAGGACGTTGGTTAATTTTTGCTCTAAAACTGTTTTTCATATCAGTTTAATATTTATAATGAGTCAATCATGCAATATTAATGCAATATATTCTTATTACTTTATGATTTTCTTAAATTTTTACTTCTTAATAGCTAAAACAAATGATGATGACGGTATTTATTAAATTTTATATCTAAAAAAATCTAATATTTTCGAGTTATGTCATTGTTTTGTTAATTGTGCGCTCGCGCATATTTTTATAGCGATAAACGATTGATTCTCTTTGTATTTATTTAAGCAGTTAACCGATTTAATTCGCTTTCAATTGTTTTCAGTGACGCTTCTTCTACCAGGAAGGTGCGGTGATTACCTTCTACGGTAAAAACTTTTACTGGTTTTTGGCATATCTGGAAATAAATACATACAAGTTTATATATTTCACTCATTCTTTCAAATGATTAAGAAATTCTTAGCTACCTCATTGAAGCCATAGTCCTCTTCAAGTTGTACATAATTTTCACTTGGCTTGACCAGCGTAACTGGGCATGTTATTTTTGTGGTAGCTTTGTAATTATGGCCAGCCGATAATTTCTTATAGAAAATCTCGCCAGCTTGCTTAATCTATTAGACAAAGAACAGGAAAACAAAAATTTAATATATTTAATGTGTAAACTTGCGGAAAAATTTCATATTTATTTACCAAGTCTATGGGTTTTTTAATCTCCTGCGCTACCATTTCGGCACACTTCGTCAATTTCTCTTCCCAGGTCGGTTTATCGAGTATCATTTTCACAACGGAAGCGTAATCCATATTAGCGACAACCATGGCGAAGTAAGCTAAGCCGTAATCGTAATTATCGCCATCGTCCATACTATGGCGGTCCCTGAATGTTGCAGTGTTCCAACTGACATATTTAGGAGCACCGTCCAAGGCAATGTAATTGGAAACTATATCGTGCGATTGCAAGTTTATTACCATTTCAAAAGCTACCGCGGCACCGAACGAGTACCCAGCAATTACGTATGGACCCTTAGCCTGTATTTTGCGTACTTCCTTTAAGTAAAAACTAGCCAATGATTGTATTGTATCTAAATCAGCGTTTGCAGTGCATTGTAAACCGTAGACAGGACAATCCAAAAGTTCAGCTAAATTTTTCAAGGGATCCGCGAAACCTTCGATAGGCGATGCTATGAATAGTGGCCGTTTATTGGAATCGACGGGCGCTTTCGATTTTAAGCGAACAATAGTTTCGGTAGGCATAAGTTCGGAACTAAATACAACTTGAGTTCCATCGCCAAATGCGCTAGGACTAGTAGTTTGAGGAGATGTCGCAGATTCAGCCCTTGCGGCTCCATTGTCCATCTGAGTTAAGGCCCCAAATGTTAACTGACGTATTTCTTGTGCTGATAAAACTATATCGAAGTTTCTTTCTAATGTTTGTTTAATCTCAGCGCCCATCAGTGAATCCATACCCAGATCAGCCAGTGAACTTTTCTCCGGAATATTTTTGATGTTGCGTATACCCAAAATGTTAGCTACACTAGCTATTAAACTAACGCCACCGGATTGATCTGATTTACGTTTTTCGGCGACCACCATTGAAGCCAATACTGGATGCGGCTGCTGTAGGAATAAGTCAATGGTTTGTAAACAAGAGTTCATTCGTTGCGGCAATGTGCCACCTATTACTGTATCATTATCACCCAAAGTTTCGATAACTAGACCGGTGTCACCAATAGCACCCCATTGTATAGCTAGACCAGGAAAGCCGCTTGCTTGTCTTGCTTCACATATGCGTTCCATTGCCGAATTTGCTAGGCCATAGTTACTTTGACCAATATTGCCGCGGCCGCACGATACACTAGAGAAACACACAAAGTGATCCAAGCTAGTGCATAAAGAACGCGAACATTGATCTAATAACTTAGTGGCTGTAACTTTTGGATCGCAAACAGTCTTAAAGTCTTTAACAGTTTGATTTTCCAAAATGTCATCACGCAACACAGCAGCCAAACTGAAAATACCACCAACTGTGGCCAGTTTATTTGCATTGGTCAGCAATTGTTTGCAGCCAGATGCATTTGTGACGTCACTAGTGTCCACCAATACTTTAACACCTTTCTCTTGCCAACGTCTCACCATCAAAGCTTGATAGCCTGTTCTCAAACCCGATCTTGAATTTAATACAATATGCTTGGCACCCCTAAACACTAGCCAATTAGTAAGCTCCAGACCAAAACCTCCTAAACCGCCAATAAGGACGTAACTTTTCTCGGGATGCATGTAAGTACGGGGTATAGCGTTTACTAAATGTGTAGGTGGTTTAATCGCTTTAGAACCGGGCTCTTCATCACGAATTTTAACTACGACTTTTCCAATGTGTTTGCCAGAAGCCATAAATCGGAAAGCTGCTTCCACTTGCTGATCGTTGAATACCGAAGTTGGTAAAGGTCTTACAGCTCCATTTTTAATACCTTCCGCAACCAATTCAACTACTTGCTTTTGCATTGCTTCTTCACCTTCCATGACACTGTCCAATAGGATGCCATGGAATGAGGTATTTTTTAAAAATACAGACATACCTAAGGGGCTGTTGTTACTCAAGTCAAATTTACCAATTTCTAAGAACCGACCATTCAGACCCAAGCAGCGAACTGAAGCTTGCAATTTTTCTTCGGCCAAAGAATTAAGCACCAAATCCACACCACGACCTTTTGTCTCACGCATAATCATTTGCTCAAAGGAAGTATCGCGTGAGTTGCCGATATGGTTGTCTTTAAGTTGGGGGAATCGCTTCTTTAAGAATTCTCTCTTCTCTTTACTACCGACGGTTGTAAAAACAGTTAGACCGTGATGCAAAGCGACGGAAATAGCTGCTTGGCCTACACCTCCGGAGCCTGCGTGAATTAGAATTTTTTCGCCCTTCTTCATTTGACCTCTAACCATTAAGGCATAGTAGACTGTGGAATAAACACAAGGGACGGTGGAAGCTTCTTCCATGCTCCATTTATCGGGAATTTGCCAAGTCATAATTTTCGCAGCCACACATGTAGTGGCCAGCGATTTTGCAGGTACCATTGCCATAATCCTACGACCTTTGGAATCTCGACCAGAAAATTCCAAACCTAACACACAATCTTGCTGTGCCAAATCACCAGGCAAAGCATCAGCCGACAGTTTCCCCGAAGACAGCATGACATCTCTGAAATTTATCGGAGCATAATAGACGGTACACAGTTCAAAATCGTTAGAAATGTTGGGTGTCGATCGAGGAGACTCGATCCATTTAAGTGAAGCCAAATCACCCTTAACTAAAGCATTCACATATGCATGTTCGACCTGCAAAGTGGCTGCACTTGTTTCCAATTTCATATGACGGTATGTTCCCCAGAGACCATTCTTTAGGACGTTGCTAATTAAATCCTTTGCCAGTTGTTTGGTGTAAAAAGCGTCATTGAACGAAAATGGTTTGGCATTTCCGTCCTGTACGAATACTAAACGGGCGAAATTTCCACCATTTTCTCTTCTAATACAAGTCATGAGACCAACCGCCCCGAAAGCCTCTTCTCCTTGACATACTATGTAGACATACTGCTCATTTTCCGCTGCTTTTGCGAGAGCACCTTTAAGTTCTTCCAGCCAATCGAAATTTTTCTCGGTAACATTAATCACAACAGATTTACGTTGCTTAAGATCTACTGGACGACGAGCCATTACAAGGACACGAGAATTTCCACAACTTTGTTCAGATGCCACTACCAGACCGAAGTCAGTCAGCAAATTACGACCAGTATTTCTGTAGCCATAAGCGGATTCTTCAAATATTAAGAATCCATTATCTTTAATAGAAGCTAAACTGTTTACCAATACAGCAGTATCAGGACGAGATAACACATCGACACCAAAGACGAAATGGTTATTCTGGTCTACGGGTTCTTTTAGAATGTTTTTATTAATTACTCGTACTCCTGCGTCCGGTCCTAGTGCTGCAGAAATGGCTTCTTCGTTACTGTTTGAAGTGGCAACAGCGATCTCAGCCGTCAGAGAGGGTTCACCTTCAAGGACTTGCACAATTTTAGCAGCTAATAAGCTATCTGGGTTACGACCATCGGCGAGTTCAACGCCTTTAATTTTTAAAGCACCGCTGGAATTTTCATTAAGTAAACGCAAAGCAACAGAAAGCGCATGGAAATGAGCCTTTTCATGGTTTTCGTTAAGGTCTACTCCGTTTTCATTGGGAATAAAGGTGTATCGTTCCAAGGTAGGAGGATTCTGATTTGAAGGTCGCTTTTGAGCCAGAGAAGCCTTCATTCCACGCAATTCAATACCACCGCTCTTAATTACATTAATATCATCGTACATATAAACAGGCACACCTTCTTTAGTTTGTTGCTCTGGAGTTAGTTTGGCTATCTCCTTCAAATGATGATTAGGATCTATAATAGCTTTCTCAATACGCGTAGGCAAATACAATTCTCGCAGATTTTTACTGAGTATACTGAATTGCAACATTGTGTCCATAAAGCTAATCCAATTGTCCACCCATTGTAGTTTTCCTGTGCTGGACAAAGAGTCAGAAGCAGTAATTCCGCGGAATATACCAGCATAGTCATAACCGCGTAAACGCAGCTCTTTGTATACGTCGCTCGTGGAGAGCTCTTTGGCAACGGTGCTAACAGGCAGGGGATCTAAAGGTAGTTGTTCATTATCAACGTTTTCGGGTATGGATATTTTGCCTGAAACAGCCAAACTACCGCCCTCGCAAATTTCGAATGCTCCGGTACCGTCAAAGAAATTTATTCCAAATTTGACTACGCCCTCCTTGTTAAGTATTGTAGCACGATGGAAGACCACATTTTCCATTACGACGGGTGTGTTTTGGAATTCATTACCACGCATTTTGGCATATGTCATCCATGCTAATGTCATGTAGCCCGTAGCGGGGAAAAGAATTCTTCCATCTATTGTGTGACCCGCTAAGAACGCATCTTCCTCCTTGCTTAAATCGACTTCGATGATAGTTTCACCCGATGAGGTCATTTTGTCGAATTTAGGCACGTGCCATTTCTGAGAATGATCCCAACCTACTTTGCAGCCTAACATGGGTGTCCCGCGTCCCACAGGATAGCTAATTGGTTTTGACAAAGTCATTATTTGCGGTTGGGCACCAGCCGCATACAATTTACCGATACTAGCCAAGAAAAATTCTGGATTGTTCTCATAATCGCGTTTAATCAGACTAAGGTTAGTCGTTTCGCTGCCAAGCGATCGTTTGAGTATGGCTTGAAGCAAGCCTGTAGGAGCTATTTCAATGCAAATGGCATTTTTGGGTACATGTTGAAGCGCTTGGTGGAAAAGAACGGGTGAGAGTAAATTATTAACATGATATGCAGCTGAAGCTTGCTGTGCTATAGCAGTATTCCAGGCAACTTCAGGTATACTGGAACTTATCCAACGTGGAGAACGATTTTTGGCATTTGGAATTACTTTTTCTAAACTCTTACGCAATTTAGGGCCAGCATCGGCAATATATTTACTATGGAAAGCATAACCTGATGATTTCACCGCCCGTGCGAATACACCTTCAGAAGTTAGTTTTTGACATACTGCGTCTATAGATTCTTCAGGACCAGATATGGTGCAATTTTCAGCACTGTTATGACAGGCCGGAAAACAGTCCGCAGGCAAACGTTTGTGAGCTTCTTCCCAACTTAGGCCAACAGCCGCCATTTTGCCTTTAGGCAACTTAGTATCCAGTATAGATTTACCTCTCCAATAGGCTGCTAAAATAGTTTGCTCCATTGATAAGCAGCCATCCGCATAGGCACAGGCCACTTCTCCAACGGAGTGACCAACAATACCATCCGGCACTATATTTAATGAAGTCAGGAGATCAGTTAGGGCCACTTGCATTGCGGCAATGCCGACAAAGGAGTTTAAGATATTTTCGAAAGTTTTTTCTGTAGAGCGAGTCAAAACGTCCATCAAATCAAGCCCTTCGGGACGTAAAATCTCGCAACAACGATGTATTGTTTTTTTGAAAGTATCAAACACCATTAGATCCTTGGCCATAGAAGCCCATTGACTACCCATACCAGAATACACAAACCAAATCGGTCGAGATTCTGGGCTAATTTCGGCGACGTCCTTTTGCAATGTACCCTTGCTATCCATAACAGAAAAGCCTCGATAAAAGTGGCCCGAGATAGGCCGTGAATGAATATCGTTAATTAAAGTGAGATATTCGTCATCATCTTTGTGTTGATCTGCGTCCTCCAAAAACTCTTGAACTGCATCAAAAGTACGTCCAGAGGATAGAATTAGTTTGGGAGGTCCTACAGTTGGAGTGATAACTTTAGGTTTAGGATTTGATTTTAAGATAACGTGAGCATTAGCTCCACCAAAACCGAATGAGTTGATGCCAACAATGCCACCCTCCCATGGGGTAGGTTTATCCACAACCTTTAGTCGGCCGTCCAAAAGACCGTACAAATCAGGATTGGGATTTTTATAATGTAAATTTGGCGGTAAAACATTTTGCTCCATGGCTAACAGCACTTTAGCAATAGAGCATAGTCCGGAAGACGGTTCGGAATGGCCCATGTTTGATTTTACGGACCCAACTAACAGGGGAGACTTGCGATTCTTGCAGAAAAAGTCTGTAATAGAGTTGACTTCTTGCGGGTCGCCCACTTTGGTGCCGGTACCGTGAGCCTCTACGTAGTTAACCTCCGCAGGGTCTAAATTAATCTCCCCGTATGTTTCTCTCATTAGTTGGTTCTGCATTTGGCCATTAGGGAAAGTGATCCCTTGTTCTTTGTGTCCATCTACATTGGTTCGAGCATTTAAGATGGTGGCATATACACGTTTGGCAACGGAAACTCGTTGTAAAAGTATAACAACGACAGCATCAGAACGTACATAGCCACTACCGCTTTCATCGAAAGCTTTGCATTTGCCTTCTGCACTCAACATGCTAAGACGTTTAAATTGCAGCGACATCGTAGGTCGAAGGCAAAGATTTGAACCAGCCACTATAGCTGCATCGCATTTGCCGCTATTCATATCCGCGAAGGCTTGGGACAGGGCGTACAAAGAACTGGAACAGGCCGTATCAACACAATAACTAGGACCTTTCAAATCAAAGGAAAATGAAATTCGATTAGGAAACATCGCACGGGCGCAACCAATTAAACCATAGCCATCAACACGATCCGGATCAGATAATTGGTAATTTTCACTGTCCGCACTCGAGGCGCCCACATAAACGCCAGTACGAGTACCGCGAATTTCCGCAGGATTCAGACCAGCATCGATAATAGCTTCATAAGTGCACTCCAGCAACATACGCATCTGAGGATCCATACCGTCGGCTTGTTTCTGATGTATACCAAAGAATGTTTGATCAAAATTTTCTAAATCCTCTTCTTTAATTTTACCGTTACGTTCTGGTAAACCGTAAAGCCCTTTCGACCAACGTCTAGGCTCATCGTTAACCATATCGACACCCTCGAAGAGGTTTTTTCTAAATTCTTCAATATTAGTACTTTCAGGGAGACGACCAGATATGCCAGTAATAACAATATCACTGTTCACTCCATTTGAAGACGGATGATCATAACGGTTTTCCAAGTTCATAGGAACGCTAGGTTCTGAATTTTCTACAAAACGGGCAGGCATGTTGCTATCTTTATGCAATTGTCCGTTCACAAGAGGAAAAGAAGAAGAATCGTAATTTGGATTACTTGCTGAGAAGTGAAACGGAAATGTTGTTGAAGGATTATCCTTTACTACTATCTTAGCGACGTCGTCTTGATGGTTTTGTTGTGGGATTTCAGAAAAATTTGAATTTTGAGAATTCTTTTGGCGACGCTTTCTTCGACGATTTGAAGATTTTCCTTTATTAGATGATTTTTGAGAATCGTTTTTATTTGCGTTGTTGCTATTATTGTTGGTATGCTGACGATTATGATTAACTTGTGAAGGATTTATTTTGTTTGCTTTAGCGCCGTGCAACAGTATGAAAATCTAAAATTAAGAGAAATGTAAATTTGAATATTATTGCAAAGTCTATCTATTGCTTGAAAAAGAAGAGAATATGTTTAATAACATACTCTCTTTTCTTTATTATCTCTTTAAGAGTTTATAAAAACATTCGAGAACAAATAAATGCAATACTTAACCGGTAATCCCTTTCGCTTATATGAAACACAAAGGAATTGAAATGCTAGGATAGTAAAGAAAAATCAGGTGATTTTTGGGGCTTGTATTTGCTTCAAACATATTACTACACATTGTTTTGTAGAAAAGAAAAGAAAAAAAGAAAAAGACAGAAAAAGAGAAGCTTTTTAACTTTGACATGGCATGTGCTTGAGCAGTAAATTTTTTGAATATTTCATTTGTTTACCCATGAGAGACGAAATAAGTTCGTATCAACGTTAGTAGCTTCAGTCTGTATATATATGTATATATATATATATATATATATTTTTTTTTTATTGTATTTGTTGTCAGATGACTCTCTCTGTTTTGGTATATTTTACGCGGCAATGTGCGAATCAACGGCAAATATCAAGAGCCATATTTACAGATTTAACGTTATTCTCTCACCTAAACCCAAACCCAAACATAGAATAAACGACTGCATGTAACTACGTCAGCAAAAACATCATACGATTATTAACAGAAAATAACTATAACAACGACGACATCGTAACAAAAAAAAATTTTTTCTTTTATTATCTTTCATATCTAACATCTGAGTAGTGTGTTAAGTTCATTGAAGATTTTACAAATAGAAGTTCCGTAAATTGCGTACAGATAAGTTCAATATCAGCCCTTGGCATTCATTATTCAATGGAAAAAAAAGAAACATAGGTTGGAAATATGAAATACTTTTTCACAAAATGTTAGGAGCATTGTTGATTACCCCCGGGGCCAATTTCAACTTGAACGCATAAAATTGTGAAATCCATCTTTCTACACATTGCTCAGTCAGGCCTGTATCAAGAAAGCTTGTCCTAAATAAGTAAGTATTAGGAGGAAAGAGAGTTTCTGTGTAAAAACCAATAGTTAAAATGATAAACATTGCTTTACCGGTATACCATGCTATCAGGCCACAATTCTATATTACGTCATTGCAATAACAAATTGCAACGTGTACAGATAACGTTTGTATATGCTAAAGAGTGCGAAAGTAAGTGCAATTCAAACAATTTTCGATAAAATTAACACATTATTTCGTTAACAGTAAACTATAAAATTATATATATATATATATATATGTTTTTTTTTTTCACATACACTTATAATTGTAGCACATTAGAAAGATTGTAATAGAGTGAAATTCATTCTTAAAAAGTAAATTTCCATATGAATGGAAATTGAATTCGAGATGGCAAGTAGCTGATAGGAGAGTATGTTCATTTTTGATATACAGTTTTATATAAATATACAAAAAATGAAAATTGATATTACAAAAGAAAAGAAAAAAAAAAAGCAAGTAAGAAAGTTATATTCGGCGGGTGACGAATCTCGCAAACCTTCCCGCTATGTTTTTCGCATTGTGCTCTTAAAGTTCTTTTTTTTGATACCCATATCGCTGGTATGGTTAAGAAAAAATTAATCGTGGTGCCTACCATATCCTTTCAGAATTAACCCATTTTCAGGCAGATAACATATCTTCATTTAAGGAGCGTACAAAATACTTTCAAACATTCGGTCTTGATTGCCTTACGATAAATGAGCAAAAAACCTCAAAGAAGTGAAAATACATTGGTGGGGATAAAAATAGAATTTAATCACTTGTCACTTGTGAGTAGAGTGCTTCGTGAAATAAATGTGGAGAATTTCAGGGTTCTAACTTTAATAATTTCCGAATAACGAGAAAAGCTCAAAAAATGTTTGTTAAAAAAAAACGGAGTTGCGTTCATTTTACGCTCGACTGCGCGCTTCTGCTTGTACTAATTTGGCCAATTTTCAATACCAACCTGCATGTAGAAATTTCCAATGCTTCTACCAATTTTGAAGTCGATATCTTTATTTTTGCGACCGGAAGAGTGACAACAATAAACACCACACAGACCGTCTGAATCATGGCTAAATCATCTCAGAATTTCACGCTGATCAAGAATAGGTATACTTTATAGGGTCTCTGAATATTCCATTTGTATTCTGGATATATTTTGGAAACAAATGACTATTTCACCATCTTACAGTGGTGTTTATAAAAACGTAAAATTATATGTGGCTTGCACCGCATTTTTTAGCATCTACTCGAAAACAGAAGGAAAGTTTTATAAATGAAATCTTTTCCACATAATATTTAATTGGAAGTCAATGTGGAAATCTATTAATAGATGAAGTGCAATGTGAAAATCTATTAAGTCAGTGTGGAAATCTATTAATAGATGAAGTGAAATGCGTTTACATTGATTTCACCTCAAATTACTGCCCTTTACATTGTATTGAAATTATTAAGCGATTAATTTCGATTTATAAACATATAATTTTTGTTTATAAGTAAACAGAAGGTAAAAAATAGTGAAAAATTTATGAAAAAGTAAACCGAACTAAATTCCGGACTTCCTATCCTGTTTATGTTAATTAAATGAAATTCTATTCTCTGTGTCGGGAAGGCTTGAGTTTATCAATAAAACCGATTGAAAAACGCATAGTGTCCGATAACTTAATTAATAAGTAATACTTAGCTACGTTTGTAAAATTGTTAGTCATTCAGTCATTTTGTTGAGGTCTTACTTGGGAACATTTTCATTCCAAACAATGTCTTTCATATATCCTTCTCTTACATTTTGTCAAAAGTGACGAGAGATATCACTGTGGAATTTTTATGTGCAGATAATGTCAGTGTGCTATTAGAGCCCTTTACCACGTCTTTACGTATTCTTAGTTTCAAGGCGACAAATCGAATAATAGGGAGTTATTTACATTCACAACAATTAAACAAAGAAAACCTTTATAGTGGGTTACGGCCCACACTACAACACAATGCAATTATTCATTCAAGGGCTTCTGCAAATAAGACGATCGGAAAAGCGTCCCGATTTAAAGCACCTTCAATACAATTCGTCATTGGGCCAAAACACGTCTTGCTTGCTGCCTTTACGCTGAACAAGAAAGCAGGACAGACAGACGGACAGCGATTCTGCATTGATCGATATAATCAAAGGTGCGTTTATCTTGAGTCCTTTTGTGTATTGCACGCATTCGCTCGAACTTAATGAGCTCTTACCAGAAGTGACGCATGGTATAAAACCGATAACATTTCACCTCTCAACAGATATCACAATAAAATTTAGTAAAAAAATGTTTAAAATGTGAAAATTCGCACTAAAAGGAATACAATTTTCAAACCTTACCCGGCTGAGTGCCCGACTAAGCAAAGGGTCGCGACTAACAACTCAATGGTCGCGGGTAGCCTTAAATTAAATGCTTGCGCTTTAATATTTTTCTCATTAAACTTCAGCAAGAATTTGTTTTTTTTGCTATAATGATTTTTACTCGCTAAGAAAATCCATTGAAGCGGACGGCCTACAGGTTCACTGATTCGCGATTCCTGATATTTTAAACTGCGTTGTCATTAAAATGTATCGAAATTATCTTTTAATGGAAAGGGATACTCTGATATAGTACAAAAAGCGTAAATTTCTTTTCTTTTTTTTTTTTTCAAATACATTAAGATTTCTACATTTTTGTTGTTTTGTTATCGGCATTACAAATATATACAAATATATACAAAAATTTACCCATAAAAAATAAAAAAATTGTTAGAAATATTGTCATTCCACGCCTTAATGCTAAGTGCATGGAAAAAGTTGTCTTCATTTCGGGTAACTTTTTGTTAGGGCATAGAGAGAATAAAAAAATATTTGCTATATATATATACATACATATATAGATAAGTATATATAGAAACATTATTTCGTCATTCGCTGTTTGGTTGGTAATGATGGAATGAATAAAATCAAAAATTCGATAAAATCAAAATTATTTAATTGCTATACTTGATAATTGTCTAAAATTCACGCTAATGCTTACAACTTATGCGACAAGTTTTCAACGCTATAAGTGAATTATTTATGCATTTTATACCGTAACTGCATTTAATACGTTCTTAAATTTATTATTCCGCTATTAAAACTCGTAAAAGCTTTCTTTAGTCAGTTTAAAGCGCAACTATTGCCTGTGTTCGTCTGTCTGTCGTTTCAGTACTCAACCATGCTTGACCATTAGCCGAGAATTGCCAAAAATCTGAAGCAATATTCGAAAATGTTGACATTTCCGTGTAACTCGAAAGACTACTTGCGGCAAAAGTGGGGTATAGTAACTTTTTCTCTCCGTCCATCCATTCAACACCACTTGTGGTACAAGCGTATATTATGCATGCGACACTCAAAAGAGCTGGAGATAGACCCATCTTCCTATTATACCAATCGATTCAGAATCATTGTCCATCTGTCAGTCATGCTTTTGGTTTCCAATTTACAATTCGAAATTTTTCAAATATTTTGCTGAAATTGAAAGTACTTTGAAGTACTTTGACCTGAAGACGGGCGCTGTTGAAAACGGTTTGATCACTTCTTATATAAAGTCGTATTTTGAATTGTAGGGCGGTGATAGTGGGCCGAACCCATTATAGTATTTTCCCTCATTTTATTATAATTTCCTGAAACTATAATAAATAGCACATAGTTGGCATTGATATATAAAAAATTTAATTTGAAACTGATTGTCATACTGTCGTGAAAACCAAAAAATGGGAAAATTTTCTAAAAACGCACATTCATATCAATCGAAAGATTACACCACTTCGCAATTTTTGATGGGTGCACAAGATTGTCGCCAAGAGTACCTTAAGTCTACCGGGTTTTGCTATAAATAAATAATTGTATAAAGTGCGCCTTTAATAAAAAAAAAAAAAAAAACTAAATAGTTGCGCAACATGAGAAGTAAATAAAAAAAAGTTTCTAAATATCAAGCATATTCTATTCTTCAATATTTCAAACAACTTTTCATTCAAATTTTTGCAACGTGCTTAAAGACCGTAATCCGTATAACGCGCGCAGGCTTCCTGAGGTTATCGCCGAAAAAATATACGAAAGCACCTGTTGATTATCAAAAATGACGTTAGTAAAATAATTTGTAATAAAATATTAATAATAAATTTTTACGAAACTTTTGTGCACAATGTAATAGGAAAGAAAAAAGTTCATTTTTTTAATACGTATTATTTATAACTAAGATTCCTATTACGCGGTAAAGAAAAATACAATCAGTACGAAATTATCAATTAAAATGTTATGACATTCGATTTCAATTCCACTCGCTTTATAATTTAAATCGTAAGGCGTTTAAATGAGAAGATCAACAAAACAAAGGGCGAAAAGCTATTTAATTAGTCGCGATCAAGACTAAATCTGTTCTATGGTTTAGACGAAAAGTTCGAAAATATTTAAGAAATTTAAAGAATCGCGGAATTCCTCGATGGTTCATAAAACAAACATATACATATATACATTTTTATACCCCACATCACTTGTGCTGCAAGAGTATATTAAGTTTTAGGCGACCCGCTTTTTATGTCAACTCATTCAGATTCACTTTTCGCATCGATCTGACCTTGTTTGTCCGTCTGTCCTCATCGTTTTCTTATGTTTGCAGGTCGCTATTTATCAGATATTTTGATGCAATTTGATACTCTGGCGTGTCTTCGTCCAAATGTTTCGGATCTGATCAGTTTTTCGACCACGGGGCGCGCGCGCCCACTCCTAAAAAATGCAATTTTCCAACATTCTCGACAAAAGTCGCTGAGGAATAGCATTTCGAAATTCGAAGTTGGTTTGAAAAATTTGGCTTGGCTGTGGCAATTTTTTAACACACTCCCGTATAATTCTTCCTACGAAAAACGTATCTTTACATGCTAAAGAAGTCTAATTTTCAATATTTCGTGGTGAGTGGTAAATTGACGAAAAAATCAATTTTACCGAATTTGGATCACATCGGTCGATTTTTTGGATATCATACCCAATAGGAGTCCTTATGAAGAGTAAGGCTTTCAGAAAGAAGTTAATTTTAATATTTTAATTCAAAAACTGATGTAGGGTATATAATGGCTACCATAATTTTTTTGCTTGCTTTTTCTTTCATAATTCTCCAAGTAATTACCAAAAGCCTCAAGCACATAATGGGTAATAAAAAAAAAAAAAAAAAATCGTTTACTTTTAAAACGAAATTCTGGATTAACTATCATCACTTTATACCATTGTATTTAAAACCTGATTTGTTTATGTCCATCTTGTGCTGCGAAAAAATTTAATTATCACATATCGTATAATTCGTTGTTTATGCATAACTATTTTTATATATTCGCACGATATTTATATGCAGTATTCGCTAAAGATCATCTATTCGTAAATGAAAGCACTCAAATATAATAAATGATTGTATAAACACGCTGACCGACCTGGCTTAACGCGGCCGCTCTACCCTGTGAAATCTACAATCTGTAATTCTTCTCTGGATTACTCTGTTACGAATGTAATTACTTTTTCCTCATTTGATATATAAATCAAATTATTTGATAAGTCTTCCGAATCAATTTTTATGCACACACGCTGCTAACTAAGCGCGTATCTAATTGGTTTTCTTTAACATTTTTAATTGTACAGTATAAGGTTTCATTTATATTTATACACATATGGTATATAGACAAATCAATACAATACTATAGGATTTCATTATATATGTATATCGGGGAAAATTTACAATTAAAAAAAAAAAAAAAATTATCATGTTAAATAAAGTTTAAGTACACGGACAAACAAATCTTTTCTTCACAAGTTCTTTCTCCAATTCTCTTCTCCTCTTATTCATAAATCCGTTACAACAGTTATACATAGATTTTCTTTCAAGCATTATTGGTATTTTGTGGCGTGATTATTATACGTGCGTATGTATGCACATTTATGTGCTTTTTTTTGCTTTTTGTTTTGTCTTCTGTTCAGCGTTGTAATGAATGAGAAGAAAATCTTTTTAAATCAATTTCTTTTGCTTTGCATTAAATTTGCATGAAAGTAAAACCTTTTCAAAAATCTTCCCAGTTTTTTCAAGTCCAAGTGCATATAAATTAAAAAGGCTAGGTTCTGTTAGCATCCAAATATATAGGCTCTATAGAAATATTAATAATTTTTTTTTTTTTGGTTTTTTCTATTGCAATATGATGCTTCTTTTAGATTTGTTTATAAAGAAATTATTCACTTACAAATTAACCGTTCAAGTAAGTTTACATAGATTGGGATGACACCACTATTTGTGTATGCATAAAAGTAACCATAAGTAAATGTAAGCGATGTATAACTGTGCGTATGTGTGCGTGTACATGTTGTGTTTATGTGTATTCGCAAGGGGTTAATATTTCAGAGGATACATACCTTAAAATCAGGCGATTATTTAACTGCTGCGCTTTTACTACTACTACTACTACTGCTTTGGTAGAGCCGCTTGTTTTGTCCTTTTCCTCTTTATGTAGAAAAAAAGGAGCAAAGTTGTGTTAATTTTTTGGGTATTTGTTAATTCACTCGAATAATGTTCTACTGTAGGTCCGGCCAGTAAAACATATAAACAAAAAGAGTTCTTCGAAAGAATTTCTTTTCAATGTAAATAAATAATGAAAAAATTCTTCGTATTACACTTAACACTTATGTAGTAACCGCTGCGTTTTCTTCTTTTACTTATGTTGTTTGTATGTAAAAAAAAAAGAAAACATCCGTTAGTTTTTCTATTTTGCTCTCTTTTCCTTCGGGTTTAGAAAAACAATTTTTTTTTTTCATGAAAATTTATTAAATCGGAAATAAATTCACGAATTTCACTTTCATTAAGATTCAAAAGCAGAAATTTAATCCAATTTGTTATTGTTTGACTTCCAAACCGTTTCGAACGCAAAATGAGTTTGAATCGAAATTTATTTTTCTTAGGCTTTTATAGTTTTCATTTTTATTATTAAGTGCATTAAAAAAGAAAACGAATATGAAAAGATATGCCACCCGCTACACTCACTGCTCACTGCTTTCAGCTGTTGAGAAGACAAAATCTATACAGCGAGCAAATATTTCTCTGTATTCCTGAGAGTAAAATTTACTTTGCTGCATATTCTTATGCATGCTGTTTTTGACTTTTCTGAGAGTAAAATTTACTTTGCTGTATATTCTTATGAATGCCCTTTTCGACTTTTCTGAGAGTAAAATTTGGTTTGCTGTATATTCTTATGAATGCCCTTTTTATGACTTTTCTGATGTAGGAAGCGATAACAGTCAGAGAATCCGAAAATGAGGCTGAGAGATATAGAGAAAGATTAAGCAGAGAGGGATAACTTAATAACATCAGATTAATGCTAATATAGCGTTTTATTAAAGCAGCAATAAACCGACATCTGCGTTTCGAGTGTTTCAGAACGGCAGCGTAAATGGTGTACATAAATATTATGGCAAATTATTATGGCAAAGTTCGACCATTGTTTGAAGCAGCGAAAGAATTTTTATAATTAATTTATAAGTAAGGTTAAATTGTCGCATCGTTTGTATATAGTAAGTGTGTGAGTTATATTCGCTGTAGGTCCTTCTCCATATCCGTTTGTTGCTTAGATCAAATTTTAACGTTTGCCCCAATAGCTTTAATTCGGAAGAAAAATAATACAAAAGTTCCCAATTTGCGACAATTTACACCATCTAATATGTCAATTGAATAGTTTCCTGATCAGTTAAACTGATCATAGGTCAAGGAACTCCCATACTGAATATTTAAAACTTGCTACTATATAAATTTTACTTTTCAGTTTTTTCAGTGACGTTGGTCAGAGGTTCTGCTCCATCAGCGCTATATCTTAAATTTGTGCAAAAGCTTTCTTGCGCTGAACGTATGAAGAATTTATTTCTGCTTTTGCTGTATACAAAATGTATAGAACAGGTAAGAAAATGATATTTGGTTGTTACCGAATTTTTTATACCCGTCGTTATCCGAAAACATAGTAAAAATGGAAAAACTAAATTTCCATGCTCTATAGTATTGGGCGGGCGTGACTGATCTTTTCTATGTTTTAGAGTAAATGTCAAAATTTGTACCGTGTATCTGTTGTAGTTTATGAGAAATGAACGAGAAATACGGAAAGCGAAGATGTTCAAAGTTGTTGTTGCAAAAGCCAATGGACGATGTACGCGAATCCTTTCATTGAGACGATTTGGGTCACTTTCAAATTTTTTTTGCAAATTTTCAAACGACAACAAGCATTTCACCTGCCACAAGATGCATGGCGCACATTACATGCTCTATCGGTGCTTAATTGCAAAAACAACAACTACCGCTCTAGCAACACATTTACCGATGATGATAACAGTTTACTTATTATAAGAAAATATATGTGGGAAAATATCAGGCGACTGTATGTACACGTGTATATGTGTATGCTCTCTGTTACAAATTAAAAAAAAAAATTGCATGACTAAAAGAGTATCCAAGAGAAATACTGCCAAAAGTAACTTTCGACTTGACTTATCTCAAAAAGGAAGAGAGATTAAGAGGAATCAAAATATTCTACGTATACTACATCTCAAAATACGTAATATTGCATTCGTATATGTGCTGATTAATTGTTTACATTCATGACCGTAGGTTCGAAATAATAAGAGAAAAAATTTGCCCCATACTTACGTAAAGCTTATTCAGTTTCGATAGAAAATAGACAAGAGATCGGCTTAAATTTATATCCACTATTCATGAATTGACTTCTACTACTACATTTGTAATTTTTTTTACTGTCCCGCTGAAGTACAAATCACATCAAATAAAAGTCCAAAATAGACATATAACCAACTCTTTTTTTTTACACATTCCTTAGAAAACTGTGCAAAAAAAATGATCGTGTAAAAAATATATGTGACATATGGCAAATTTAGAGATATGTTCCGTGCATACGTCCAATATGTCTAGCAAAACTGTCGGATTTGATTCAAATGAAGAATTTCATTGGTTATTGACGTCCTCTGTTGGTTTTTTTGTTGTTATAAAGTTTGCTGTCAGTGGTCGCGTGTAAGCCAACCGACTTCTGATCATTGTATTGCCCCCATTGCATTTTGTTGCTGTATACATAAGCTTCTGTAAGAAACTGTCAAAATTATAATTTAAAAAAAAATATATCATCCGCCTGAGTGCCCGAGTAGGGAAAGAGTCTCGACTAGCAACTCGATGGTCGTGGGTTCAAACTTCAAGTCGTTAAGCTTAGATGCTAGTGCCCTAAGACTTTAGTTTTAGAAATTATTCGCTGAATAAATTAATTATAGTAATAATAACTAAAAAAAAATTTTTTTTTGGGATTCGTACTAAAAAAGTGTATTTATTCTTATTGGTGAACTGCGTCCTCTCAAAATCGACTAAAAAAAGACTATGTAACAAAAAAAAAATTGAGAATATTCATAATATACATGAGTTGTTGAATCATATAAATTACGTTTATCGAAAATATTAGAAAAACAAGTCGAAATTTTTTCCAATATCTTAATAAATTTTCACAGATCAAATTTGATAATATAACGAGCACTCTTTATAAATCAGTTACAAATATTTATCAGGATTATCTGCATATTTATATCAGTGACAAACTGAGGCGTCAAGAATTAGTAAATGTTTATACTGAGCACCGAAAATGACAATAATATAACCGAGTTATGCATTTGTTTTTGTGATCAATATAGGAACCGGGGACAACAGCTGATTCTTAGCATATATATATATATACTCAGTTAATGATCGCAAATTAGATTTGAAAATCGCTATAGTCCCATAATCACCTTGCATGCTATCGCGAGATTTGATATAAATATTTCCCCATATGTATCAATATATATCCGATCGACTAGATGACGTCCTACTTTGAAATGTTAAATTGGCCCTAAAGCGAAATGGTCACATAAAAGTTTTCCCAGACACGTTATTATAAAATTAGTGTCAATGAGTGCAAATAGAATAAGCAAGTACTGAATATTGAAATCTAAGAATTTAATTTAAAAAGTTTTATTTAATTTTAACAAATATATTGTCAGGTGTTAAACTAATTTCTTACGCATATAAATAACATTTAATTTTATAATTAATCGTATTCGACACAATTCGCTAATAAAGTGCAGTAAAGTCATACAATTTTTGTTCAAAAAGTAATCATAAATGTATTTATCTTTAGGTACCCGAAAGCGATCAAACTTAGCGGATTTATCATCATAACCATTTTAATTCTGTTAATTATAATAACCTTAGTAATTTCACTGAGATATTACTGTAGCCAGTTATTAAAAGGCAGTGTTTTGCCATTATATCAACTCCTCGTGTTGATCAACATCACAAATCGCATTCTTACGCGGTAGTAATTTTATAATCGTATTTAATATATCGTATATACAAACTCATATACTGAACAAGTGAAAACACACGGTCCACCATTAAATATTCTACGTCACACTGCAGTTTTCGACTTTTCAAAATAAGACCTCGTACGGTCGAAAATGATCGAAAAAGTTTTTCGATTTCAACCATTTCCAATAGCGTTTGTCCTTGGGCCAAGACATGCGGTGGTGGACCAAACTTAATCAAAATCTCTTAAAAATTGCGGATTGTAGGTTGGACACAAAAATTCACAGAGAGGTGAACAGACAGACAGACAAGCTTTGCCAGGAGGTTAGTCTATTTCAAATCCTTCTGACTTACACTGACATACACTAACGCAAACTTAATATACCCTTGCACCGCAAGTAGCGTATAGTAAAAAAATGGATGGACGCAAAGGCAAAATTAGTACATTCCCATTTCCCTAAAGCGATAATGAAAACCTTCTCAAGCAGAAATTTAAAAAACGGACGGAAAGATATGGTAACAAGCGGTACAATAAAATCTTGATGCATTTCAAGCCCTTCTGAGAGTCACAACCGCATAAATTTAATATGCCTTTGCTATACAAGGCGTAAAGGTCACACCCCAGTAACCGTTATTAACCACACTAATAGATTTTCCTAATCGCTATTACCAGACTTGTGTGAATTATGATCAAAATAGCTTCTACTAACCCCTAATGTACGCACAAGTAATATATTGAGAATTAAAGAGAAAATAAAATCTTCTAACAAAGTGAAAAGTCTTCAATCAGATGGATACTGATTATTAACATATAAACATTTGTTAATGAGGTATACATTTTTATTAGGTTACTAGGTATGATATCAAAGGAAAATTTGACAACCCTTTTCTTCGCTCACGTTTTCTCTTACGCTCCTGGCATTCAGGAAAAAAAGTATACACTTCAGTGTGGGGTAATTTCATGCATGCTTAGACTGCAAACATAAAATCGCCTCAACAACATAAACAAACACAATACAATGTTTAACAATATTGCATCCATCGTCTGCAAGAGAACTTAAAGAAAAGAATATAATAAACAGCAAAGAGCGGCAGCAGATGCATGCTAATTGGTTGAAATGTTTAAAAGAATATTAAATTCTTTTTTGAAAATAAAAATTTTATAATAATAATTATATGCAGTAAAGCAAAGCAGACCTTGCGGTATATTTAGATTTAAAAAGTAAGAAAACAGGGGTAGTAAGAAGCATTCAGTATATATAAATTTGAACTTAAAAAAGCGCTGTACAGAAAAGTGTAATGTAGAGAAAAAAAAGGGGGAGAAAAAGAGACTAATATTCATATCTCTCTCTTATTTGGTTAGTTTCAGACCAAACAATCCCATGTTTCTCGTAATTTTTGGCGAAGCAGTACGCAATTTTGCAACGCTTCATAAAAATGTCATGTTTCTAACGCAATTTCTCTAATGCTGACGAAATAGTAAGAAATAATTCCACAATTTAAAAAAAGTCCTTAAGATCTAGGAAAAAAGGGAAAATGTGAACAAACAATTGAAAAATCTAAGATCACCCTCTGCTAAATTGAAATAATTTACCAAACACTGTTTTCATTTTAATTTTTTTGTTTTTTTTTCGTCTGTCGTTAACAATTTAAATACATTTGCAATTGATTGTACAATAATTTATTTGCATCATGCGATTTATTGATAACATTAAGATCGCATTCATTTTGCACAGACACGCCAGTCTAAATGTTCAAATGCAATTGGCAACCGAACGACATATCAATTTGAAACTAATTAAATCTTTAAACATTTCCGATTCGTAATATTAACCAGAAAAATTTTGATTATAATTTTCATCTCGTGAGTTCATAATAAGTGAACAAAAGAACTTTTTTAAAACGCTCACTTGACACGAGCGTACAAGTTGTCGTTCGTAGTTACTGAGTAAGTTTGTGTTTTGTTTTCAAAGGTTCAAAATATTATTTAAGTAATTTTTTTAATTTTTATTTTTTTTTTTATAAATAGTGAGTAATAGAAAACATTTCAGTTATTAAAAAAAAGCTAAAAGAAAACGTTCTGGAAAATTGCAATCGGATTAGAAACATCAACCAAATAAAAAAAAACACAAAGGTCAACGAGAACATGTTCGCATCTACTATATAATTTAAAATTTAGAAAAGAAATAATACAAAGTAAGCCTAAATCAAATTAAAGTATCGCTATGTCCGATAAAAATTCTCCTAAGTTAAATATTATTCCAGTTCACGTGAAAAATCTTAAAGCGGGGAAGATGTAGAAACGAAAAGAAAAGTTACTGACAGAGTGAAGGAGATAGGAAGTGCTTTATTTCACTTTGAATGAACACCAGCGACAAGACAGACGCTCACATTTGATTGACCTGTTAACAGTTCATCAAGAAGGATCAAAGAGACAAAGAATGCCCTAACATTATGGTTTCTTAGAAAAACGTCATCAAATAATTAATAGTTTACACAATTTAACCCTAAAGACCGGGCTTCTTAAGGCTATCATTTTTTTGGTTTGATGACTTGAATCTATGTTCCCCATGTCTACTCCGAGAAAAATGTCTTACGCTTGGGATGTATTGAGCTTCTTCAAGTTCTTCAAGTTCTCAAGTCCAAACACGTTCGACTTCGATTGTTTAGATCAACATCTGACAATACTGCCCGAACAGACTGTCTGGCATAGGGACCGATTAGATCGATTAAAAGTTTGAATAAGAATATGCCTTCTTTACAGGCCCTATGGAGCTTACGTTTAGATCTTGTAAAAACAAGTAAGATAGGTATTACAAAACGAGTAAGAAAAGTATACCCTACCTCAATTCGCGTAATACAATTTTTCGTTCGATTTGGTAATAATGTACGAAAACTTACACATTCTTTTCATGCAAAGGTATACTTTCCATGAAAGCCTGCATATTAGGGGATGTCCAAAACATCATTTGACGTGATCCAATGTTCCCAAACTTAATTTACTCCTCAAAAATTATATTATTTTTCCGTTCTTATAATAGAAAACTAAAAATTATACTTTCTCTCCATGCAAGGGCTTTATTTTCATGATAACCCTTATATACGCTGCGCTTTAAAAATATGTGATCCAAATACCGCAGTATTATTCATTTTTTTGCTATGAACCAATTTTCATTATAAAATATTAAAAATTAAATCTTTTTCTGCAGGGTTGACTATTTATGAGAAACTTATATGGACTGAGGTCCAACAAATAAACTTATGTGGCTCATAACTTACTTATTTAATTTTTATGTAAAATTCCAAACATGAACAAATAATCATCGGTTATTAATAATCAGACATTGTTAGCATGTAAAGCTTTACATTTCCTGATGCGGTCTTGTATACGTTCGTATCCAAAAACGACATATATGTGGTCTAAATTCCAAAAAATTAAGAAAATAATAATAAAATGAAAGTTAACGATTTAATTTGTTAGCCGTAAAATAAAATTAAGCAATTGCTAAAAGCGTTAAGCTAATTATTTAGATACAAGATACGTTTGCGTTTTTTTTTAAAACGTATTAAACAAATTTCAATGAACGTATTGGAAAGATTGGAAACGGAAATTAATGTAAAATCACGTCATCAACTATTAGAAATGCGTGAAATTTCGTATTAAAACGTTCCCTTTTTATTATTGTTATTCGCTTTTTTTTTCTTATCAATCGCGTATTAAATCGATTTGTACGTTTGCTAATAACGTGTGTTTCAGGCGATAATCTACGTAACCTCAGAAAAATGACGACCGATATTCCAAATCAGGTAAACATATTCGAAAATATTATATGTTCGTGTGTCTTGCACTTTTCTCCTAAAAGTTAAAAAAAGTGTTAGTATTTAATGGACAATTTTTAATTCGCAGTTGCTTGAGCAAAATGTGAAACGGACAGACTCTTAATTGTGATGTCCGTCACTTAACTTTTAGCTTTTCTGCCGTTGCTTAAAGAAAGATTTCGAGATAGTTTAACCCCCCGCCTCCCTCCCACCACTAAAGTATAGATTCTATGTTTAATACCCCAGAACACTTTTTTGTAGTACGGAGTATATTGAGTTTGTGTAGCCATATGTGACAACCTGACAACATGACATGACATGACATGGCAAGTGAGTAAGCCAGACAATTTTTTCTACTTCCAGATGTTCATAATTAATATCCATGTCACGTCTTAGCTTCACTATTGTGGGCGGATAACAACCACTTTGACATTCGGTTTGTAGCCGGCAAATAAGAATAAACTTATATTGAGCTTCTGTCTTAACGTTTCCAAACATGTGCAATCCTAAAATGGACTAATCGTCGCAAAATGTTACGCCGGGCCAAAGCAATACTGATACCCCGTTCATTCTTCGCTTTAGGATTTGAAAATTTTATCAGCAGTCATTAGAGAGAATAGACAAAAGAGTCGTAGAGTCATCACCACCGTCATCGTCATTTACTATAAAATGAATTTGTTTGACAGACCTATGTCATGCAAATTTACCACAAACAGAAAATGTCTCCTCTAATGATTCTTGTCGATTTCCATTATAAAGCGCTAAGAAAATAAACTTTGTCGCTATATAAAGGCTACTTTGTTTGTAGAGGTTTATAAGATTATCCGCAAGAGTAGCGGAATAGGCAAGAATCGCAATTACCAGGTCAGTGTTTGCGGGTTCAAACCTCTGAGCGGTTGACTTTACTTCGGTCGTAGCTACAGTGCGAGCGCTCAATCAATAAACACATAACACTTCCCGATTTGGCACGCGCCCACTACGCTGCGGCCGCCACGTCCTTCTCTTTCTTCACTTTTTTTTGTCCCTCCCGTATTACACGGCTAGAAGAGTCCCCAGAGTGATTGGTTATAATGAAAAAATTTACATATATATATGTATGCCAGAAAGTTCAAACAATGGATAAAATTTTCTTTATTCGTTCAGTAGGCTAAAGAAGCATTGCTTGCCGATCTTCGTCGGGAAAAGTTGTTAGTGCTGTACAATTTTACAAGCAGATTTCTTCAAATAAATAACAAAAGTAATGAGTTTGGAAAGCAGAAAAAATTTGAGCATCAGTGTGCGCTGAATAAATCAATTATCTTAAATGGAAAACTGTTATTTTACGTAGAGAAAGGTCGCATCGATCGAATGCAACCGTTATATGCATTAGTATTTCCCATGTCTTTATCACCTAAAACCTGTAGAAGTCACTGACCAACATTTTTGCAAACACCTAATACAAATCGTTCTATGTTCGTAAACACGATAAATTTTGTTTTGTTTACAGTCCCACAGTGCGATTTCAAGACTACTTTGTTTGAATTTTTTTTTTTTTTTTATAATAATAATCTCTGCATAAAAATGCAAATTAACTAGATTTGAATATATGTATCCATATGGATAAAAATTTAAACTCCGTCTTTGGCCATCAAGTAGCTGACTTCCTTTCAACTTTCTTTATGAAGTCCGGACCGGGGCTGCGAGCCTTCTACCAAAGCGGCTAAGAAAGATGAAGATGGGTGGATCTGTGTATACAAAAGCTTATGTTGATTGGAAATATACATGATTTACGCGTACTGGTATTATCTATTCTGAATCTTTTGGTAAAGACTAAAAAACGGAAATAATAAAAATACATTTAAAAAAAGTTATCTATAATAAAAACAAGTACTTTTTATTCGAAAATAGTTTAAAACTGTTTGAAATTTATCAAAGTAAAAAAAAACTACAAACAAATTCAACAAGTAAGTTCGCTTCATGGCATCTTGCGATGAATATCGCTTAAGCAATTAGATCATCAAAAAAAAAAAAAGTGTTGACCTTTAATATATCTTTCTTATAATTATGTTATCGTTACATCTATATTAAAACGATTGTATCCTTAAAATACTCTTGCAGTTCGTGCACTTCTAATCTCTAAATAAATAAGAGCTTTCGCATTAGTCGGCACAATTAAATGTTTCTACCCAGTTACAAAAGCTTCCTACAATTCTTTGGTGTTTTTGACGATTAAGCAATTTTTTAACTTGATGATTCGTAGGAACGGTGCGAGAACTTAAAAATTTTAAAATATTTGGAATATCAAGCAAGAGGGTTAGGTCTTTTGTTTACTTTCGCGTTGCGCTATATTTTCGTCTTTTTTTGTTGTTTTTTTTGCCATAAAAAATCAGCTCGGTGCAGTCTTTAATAATAATAATTTACTTAATGCTACCAATACTTCAATCCAAAGTGAATCAATGCAACGCATTTACTTATTAGCACTTATCAAAATTAATATTTAGTCTAGAGTAACTACAACTTTACCACGCAAATGACCCGCCTTAACACGCTTGAAAGCTTCCGGCAATTCTTCAAATTTATAGCAACTGTCAATAAGTGGTAGAAGCTAGGAAAAGAAAAACTAATTTAGTGTTTACACTTACAAAATATATTTGAAATTAACCTTCTTACGTTCCACCAGTTGTTTTAGTAATTCAATACCTTGTGGAGCTGGGATGAAGAAACCATATTTGATTAAACCTTTACTGTTTGTTAGTGATTTCACATTTGCTTCCAAAATATTAGCGAAATTTTTTAATAAACCTAATCCTACGCCAGAGCTATCGATGTTTCTCAGTAACGGTGAAGAAAATGTAACGTATTGATCGTATTTAAAGTCTAAAGTCTCCGCAGCTTCTGAGCCCTGACCAGAACAATCAAGCACTAAATCATAAGGCGCAAAATTACGAAGAGTAGCCATTTTTGAAGGATTACGGTAATCGATCACACAATCAGCTCCCAGATTTTGTACTAATTCTGTGGCATTCTCGCTACAGGTAGCTAATACTTGACTACCTTGAGCTCTCAGGATTTGAATAGCTAAAGAACCTACAGCACCCGAACCACCTAAAACCAGCACACGTTTGTTAGCGCCACCGCCATCGGCAGTTAAGGCACCACAAACTCCTCCTAGCTGAGCGGTAAGGTAGATACCAGACCAAGCTGTCAGACCCGCATATAAAACAGAAGCAGCCTCTGTATTTGTTAAAATTTCGGGTACCATACCAACCTATGCATAAAAATTAAAATTTTAGCTTAAATTAAATATCAATTTCACAATTAAAGTTTACACAATAATCTGGAACACGCACATATTGAGCATGAGCTCCTTGAGTACTTTGCACCGGAACTACACCCCACACCCTTTGCCCGACCGGCAATTTAAAATTGTTAACACTCATGCCATTCTGTATTAGGGTTCCACAAAATTCCCGTCCCAAGGTTAAAGGAAATTCTATAACATTTGGCTGGCAACGTAAAACTTTCAGCACAGCAGCACCATATCCGCCTAAACAGATAAAAGGGTTTTTTATGTGTTGATGCGGAAGAAAATTTGTTGATTTGTTTGCGTACCCAACATGGCCACATCAATCGGGTTTATTGAAGTCGCTTGAACTTTGACTAAGCATTCATTAGATTGTTTTATTTGTGGCACCTTTAATCTGTCCGAAAATAGTAATTCATCGAAATCTCCATAATTATGTATTTGCCAGCCAGACATTTTCAATTTATGCTCATGGGCTTGGGCTTGGGTTTGAATTTCATTTTGACCCTCGTTTAGAATATTGTTGACGGAAGCGACCGATTTTCCATAAGAAATATGAAAATTTCTTGCAGGCACACGAAGCAATAGTTTTAACTGCATTTTGCTTTCTTTTTTTTTAGAATTTAGAATTACACAATTATCCTTTTGTTCCGTTTGTTTATGTTTGTGAAATTATGACTCGATTTATTATTTGATTTTAGTTATGATCTCAGACTTGCATCGCGTATGGAAATTGATGTTGCCAGATGCGAGCTTTAATGGTTTCATCCAATTCACAAAGTTATTATATAAAATGCCTTATTTTAATTAGAAAAAGGTTTGATTTTCAACAAGCTATTTGGGCAAGTCTGGCTTCCCAGTGCAATAACGTGTAGGGTTGTGAAAAGCAGAAAGAGGCTTACTTGTTTAACTTAATATAATAATTGCACATGAATGAAACAATAATGTTCGAGACGCCCTGTGTTGTAGTAGCATATATTCAGTTTCAGAGCTGTATTTTTAATTGATTTGTAATTTTTTTACTACATTTTACAAGAACGCAAACGTATTTTATGTTTAAATGTATTTTTTGTTTATAGTTTTTAGCATATTGCGTAGAATACAGTTCGTTGCCAAAGACAGTGCTAAGGAACATATAAGATTCTTTTCAAAAAGTTTGTTCTTCTTAATTAGATTTTCTAGGTTTTATTCAACCCATGTAAAGGTCATGACCAAGTATATTCATTGACACTTGCCTGAATGACGCAGAACGAAGTGTTGATAATTATAATCTGCCTTTGGCAAGAAACTACGGCTCACTGAAACAGCCAAAAAGTCATGTCACGATACCTAGGAAAACAGTCAAGAAAAAAACGTAAGGCAGTTGCCAAGAGTAACAGTTAAATCTTTCCTGGACATTTGCGAAGATTGTGCAAATTCAAAAATATAAGACCAACAAAAACTATTTTTTACGAAAGTGTCCTGCATAAGATAAGATAAAGAGCTAACCGGCTCACTTTTTTTCGGACCATGCTTTTTGCAACCAAAAATAGACAAGAAGCGGAAAGCGTGTTAAAGAGCAACAAAATAATTATCGCCTAAATAATCTGGTCTATTTTTAGACCCTACAACATGACGTATACAGCACTCAGAAGGACTCGAGACAGACCTGTCTTTTATAGTACTAACAGACTTAGTAACATTTCCGAAATCGATGTAACCTTGTCAACCTACAGGTCTTAATTCTTTATGAAATTTACATGAAAGGAAATTATAGAAAATGATTCATGTCAGATCGCTTGTCCAATATATATATATATATGTATATATATTCATTATATGAATAATTGTATTAAGCGAAATGGTGTAGAAAGGCCCAGTATGATGATTTCACTTCGAAAGGATCACTGCCAAAATCGGTCTAAAAATGTAATACGCTTGAATCGAACCTAAAACTTCCTCTCCTAACGCAAGAAGTAGCAGAAGAAGATTATTGTTTAATAATACGGATAGTTAAGGCATAATATTAGAGATCTTTAGCCATGGATCTCTATCTGACTTATGTGAATTATTTTAATATAATATTTTATTTTAGTCAAGAAAATTATTATAGTATGTTTTGAAAATGTTTTAAAACTTCACCAAATTTCGTATTTTTATAAAATTTATTTGTAGTCATATTAGCCAGCATTTCTATCGGTTAAGTTATTTTGTGGATTATTTAAGTAAATATTTTTCTAAATATATACAAATACATACAGTTGTTTTTTATGTAAAGGTCGGCCATAAGAGATCTTAATTGTATTTAGAGGAAAATAAAATATATAAAAAATACTTTAAAGAATTTTTTTTTTTTAGTATTTTATACTTTCAATTTAGTTTCGTTTACTTTTTACAAACATAATAAAGCTTTCAACTTATAGAAAGTCATAAAACAGATTTAAAAGTAAAACTTAAGCAAACTTTTGTAAAAAAAGAAAAAAAAAAGAAGAAAACAACAACAAAATGTATCACAAGCGAACAGTTTTAAATGTGTTGATGAACACTATGAAAAGTTAAATTTGAATCCGAGTTGGAATAACATTGCATTGACATTGTATGGCAATCCTCCTCGAGGCTTTCATCGCTATAAGAGCCCACTGAACGACAAGCTCTGCAACAAACAAAATTTAAAACAAAATTTAAGAAAAATTTGCAAAAATAGATTAAGTCCTGTTACATACTATAACGGCATAAAAATCCTTGCCAATAACTACATGACGTTGTTACAGTGTAATCGTTTTATCGAAAACATGAATATAAGAAATTTAAGAGGAGAATGGACTCCGTCAATAATATAAAATTTTTGCCAAATTTCTGAAAGTTAAAAGTTGGAAATGGAGGACAATATTTTAATATATCACGATTTTAGCAGGTCCATGAAAATTTAATCAAGTGGACAAAAACAAATTTCAATGCAAGCAGAATTGCCTTTGTGCCAAACCTATTCGTGTCGATAGCGCATCATGCCTAATATGCTTCAAAACACATTTCTATATGTAAGCAATTTTACAAATCCAGTCCGATACTGTAACCCAAAAAAGCATCAATTATTAATTGTTTTTGGTTGTTCCAGGCGGGTTCATAAGTGATTTGCAGGTTTTTGATTTTAGCATGAAGGGAACAACTTATACAAAACAATATGTAACGGAAATCGTAACCCCGACTTTATAAAAGATGAACAACTTTATATCGACTCCAAGTGTCCACTTCGTATGTCCACACTATAAAAATACTTGTCAAATCTAATATATGCCATTTCGTGGGTAATAATAATTCCATATATCTACCGTTCATTGCTGCCACTTGTAGAACCAAGTTCAGTATCATTAGGCGGTGTACCATCTTCAGCATTAATTAACACTTTGTTTGGATTTAAAGCCAAACTATGTACAAGAGATATGGCTGTAGGCTTTGATACAAGTGCATTTATTTCAAGCGCTGAATGCGATTTAGTGAGAGCAGCAACACTTTGGCCATTTTGCGACTTATAACACACCTCTTGGTGATGAAGATTATGATTGTTATGATAAAGTATTTGGTGCTTATCGTTTGTAAGAATCGTTAAGCATTTATTATTGTTGTTGGAGGTTAACTTAGTTGTCACCTCCGTAGTGCTCTGTTCAATTTCGGCTAACTTTCTAAATATATGCAGTAAATTCTCAATACTGGCGCGCATATCGCAACGTAGATCAGTGATTTCATAACATAACTGAGCAATATTCTGATTTAACAGATTTATACCTTGTTTAACTGGCCTGGTTGGCATCGAGGAACGACTATATAGTGGATATCTGCAAACATGAAACGTTTGTAAATATTAAAAAAATAAATAAATAAATGTAGATATAAAATTTTACTCTCTTGATATCAAGGGCATTTCTTTAACGATATTCAGAATACGAGTGTGTGAGCCTTCATGGATGATGGGATTTCTATAATTGTAATATTCACAAAAATTACATAATTTTTTTTTTTTTTTTTTTGTTGAAAATACTATACCTTAAAGGACGATTTGTTATTACCGCAATCATTTGAACTAAATGAGCCACGTAGCCGAGCGAAGCACTCAATGCCAACGGCGTTACATTATCTGAGCTGACAAAACTGTTGGCGTTCGAAGATTCATAATCATAACTATCTGCTGATGGAAATGGTACCCCACATATGGTGTACGAACCTTCGCGATTACGACTAATAGGATAAATTTCTGTTAGTTCCATGCATAATGAAGATCTCCTGCGTTCCAAATATTGAGCTACGATTTGTTTGCGTTGTCTTCTCTCGAATTGGGTCGCCAAATATTCATTCCATTTTTCTTGCTTGGCTGCTAATTTGTCTCGCTTTGCGGACAACGAAGTCTGTAATTGTACACGTGTTCCATTGGCATGTGCCAGTTGACGCTTTAAATCTTCTATACGTTTTGCATAAATGGAGCGCGTGTAATTTAGCAATCGATGCTTGCTATGCAGACTTTCTATTTGTTGCTGTAATTTTTGGGCTTTAAATAGTTGATTGGGTTCAATTCGTTGCTGGTCTGCCAATAACATACTTAAAGTACGGCCCATGGAATGATTGTGATAACAACTCTCATAGGAGGAGGTAGTTAGTGTCATAGAATTGTTTGCATTTAGTGACGTGGTACGTGTTCCTCTCTTCAACTGATCTTTGGTTATGCAACGCAAACTTATCATTTTGATATGCTCAGTTAACTCGATGCTTCTCCGTTCAGTCTGTAATCTTTGACGTTGCAGTTGTTGAATGTCCAATAACTTGTCCAGCTTGTAACTGCTATGCACATTTCCTCTCTCACAACTGAGTTGAGGATAACGGGATTTTGACATACGTAACAAGTCTTTCTGCCAATCAACAATGTCAGGGCTAGAGCTTCGACTAACATGCGGCGAGTTTATAGAAAATTCATCAGCGATTGGCATACTGCTATTAAGCACTCCCGTTTTGGAAAATCGTTGATAACTCGCATTTAACTGATCGCTTAAATGTTTGACACTAAAATGTTCTGGTGAGGTGAAAAACTCATCATTCAATTGAAATATTAAAGTGTTGTCGCAGCATTTTGTTTCATTTGGTTGATAAATAGGAATGAGCCCCGAAAAGTACACAGCCCAACTAAATAACAATTTATCGTAAGAGTGCGGCTGTTTACCGGATTTAACATATTCACGAGTCAAGGCACTAGAAAGAACGAAAGCTTCACTTGACGATTTCTACAATTAAAGAAAGTAACTAAAAGAATCTGTACCTCATGGGCTCTTCAGATGAATTTTCCTGTTTTTCCTCGTGAACATTCGTGACTGTTTCTTCTATTTTTGGTTGCCAAATCCACATCTTCACGCAAACACAATTTACATTAGACTTTAGCAACGCCGCACATTCTATCTCCGCCCACTTTTGTTGTAAATGCTTACGATAAGGCAGTTTTTCACTTTCGTAGATTGATGGGCTTTCGTGGCTTTGATGCAACGTATAGTATAATAGAGCGTCCGCCCGAATCACTGCTCTATCATCGCCAATATTAATGCCTTCAATTCTTTGCAGGTTTCTCAATCGTAGTTGTTGCGTACACAAAGGGAGCCATTCCCGACATCTTGGACGTATGTTCATAATTCTAACTAACTCTTACGTGTTTTAACACTTGATCAGTGATAGCAAACACATTATTTCCTCTTGATAAGTTCGATGAATATTGAAGATATTTGAAAATAAATATTTTCTACATAGAGAAAAAGGGTCTTCTTCTTCTTGAATTTTCAGCGAGCCAATGATGAACAGATGATTCGCGCGTTGTAAAAATAAAGGTCCAGTGCGAAAACAAAGTTCTTTGTTTAGTTTGGGTCTTAATAAAGTCGATTATTAGTTTAGATTATGGGTTAATATTAGATTCTTATGCTTATTTGTTGACGCTAGGAAATGTTGCTATTTTTAGGTTGTTCTTCCGTTCGCTATGGTTATTATTGCTGTTGTTGTAATTACATTCGAGATGTATTTTCATTTATTTTTTTATTCTTGCAGAGAGAATTAATATTTCATTTTCACAAAATTTTTTTATTATTAAAATAAAATGTCAAAAACCTTAGAAACCTTTGTCAAGCCTGTGAAAACAGCAGTCAGTGTCTAATTGGCAAAACAATGTTTATGTTTTCTTTTGTTCCCATGATTGATTGTGGACTTAGTTAGAAAGTCCAATTTGAGAGAGTTATGTTTATTTCAATATTAAATTAAGTTAATGTTTATTAATTAATAATAATATTGATGTGACAGGATAAGCTATACAATGATAACCATTATTATAATTAAGAGTGAAAACTTAATGCCAAATAAAAACAAGGAAGAGAAATGATATTGTTGTCATATGAAACCAGGGAGGTTATATAAAAATAGAAAAAAAAAAAAACACAAAGTAAACAAAAACATCTGATTGGAAAAATTGATAATATTTATTGCCGATTGGAAAAAAAATTTATTTTAAGTATCTTAAAATATTTTCATGTAAATTATATAAATGTATATTTATATATAAATTATATAAATGTATATATACGCATAGAAAGTTTTACAATTTGAACTATAATCGGGTACGTATACATTTTTTTGTTAGTTAATTCTAGGATCTTAAAAAAATATTGTCATATGTTACGTATTAATAATTTTAATATTTCGTTATTCTTTCGTAGTTATTAAAATGGGTAATTCCGCGTCTAATGAAAAGCAGCAGCAAAAATATGTTTCATTGACTCCTCAAGAACAGCGCATTTTAGAAAATTCATTTAAGTTACTTGCCTGCGGGGGGAACACCAAAGATATTAAGACTGAGCAAATAAGAGTAAATAGAAAAACATGCTCTGAATAAATTACGACATCTCCGTAAGAGAAATGCACATGTTTCTTTGTAGATTGCTTGGCGTGCAATAGTTGGTGATGTTATAACGGAATATATTATAAATTTCTTTAATAGTAGACCAAAAAAAGCCAACAGTCAAAATCCCTCGTCTATTGATTACTCTTTATACATAGAACCTTATTTGATTATGGAAAAATATGACAAAACGCAACAGATTAATTTTTTGGCAAATTCACTAAGTGAAAAAGGCACGTCCACAGACGGAAATCTCGTTTTAGAGGAAGTACGAAAGGTAACATCTTTGCATTATTAGAGCAGAGTCAGTATTACACTTTTATAAGGGTTACGTCCTTGTTTCTCTTTTTCTGCATAGTACGTTAGCGCCGTTGTTAAAACTTACATTAGAGCTTTGCCTTTTTATTGTAAAAGTTTTGAAACCTGGAAGAAGCATGATTATCGCTATGAGGACCAAACGGCCGAAAGCCTTGCAAATGCGTTTTTAAAACAGTTTTACAAGGAGTCGAAAACATTGATTTTGGAAGAAGAATTGGAGAAGTTTCTGCAATATAATTTCAGCTTTCAAATCATGTGGCGCGAAATTATCGCTTATATTTATGGTTATAGAGCACCGGATCGATTAGAGAAATTATTAGTCAATACGGAACCATTATTACCTGCTCTCGAGGGTAAAAAGAAAATCGTTTTTATTAGCGGTCTTTTAATAATTTCTACTTTATTATAAGGCCTAACTGAAGCGCACAAAAACTATAAGCCTATAATGGAAATTCCTCACATTATTTACATGAATTCCCATTTGCATTACACTTTGAGAAGCAAATGGCGTTTTCTGTTCTCTTCAAAAATTATGGGTGAAAGTTTTTCTACAATGCTGGGTAAAATATTAAATAGAGGACCGACAATGGTGGTGGTGGAAGATGAAGACAATTATCTATTTGCTGGTTTTGCACCACAGTCTTGGAGTAAAGGCTTAAATTTTGGAGGTAATGTGATCTATTTGCCATTAAAGTAAAATGTAAATTTTTATTAGTTATTGATTTTATGGTACGCAGGCGATGATACATCGATGTTGCTCACACTGCGCCCAGAAATGCGAAGCTTTCCGAGCACTAAATACAATGACCATTTTCAGTATTTGCATATAAATCAGCAAACTTTGCCAAATGGCTTGGTAGGTTTCAGTTCTCTTCATTGCTTCATAAAATAAACAGTATTTGTTTAATTAAGGGCATGGGCGGCCAATTCAACTATTGGGGCTTGTGGTTGGACAGTGAATACGGCAAAGGTCAAAGTTCGGAGACATGCACAACGTTCAGGGACTACGTTCAGTTGAGCAAGCAAAAGGAATTTCGTATTAAAAACGTAGAAGTATGGGGTGTAGGAGATGAACCGAAGCTCAGCGAAGACAGCGACGAAGATATAAATGTAGGGAGAATAAAATTTAAAAATGAAATGAAATTTCACATATCTTTTTTTTTTGCAGGATACGAACAAAAAGTCTGTTTTGGATAAAAATTTAGAAGATCGTGTTATGTTACAAATGTCGGGTCATAAAATGCATTCCGAAGGTCTAAGAGAACCCGAGATGGACTTGTAAGACTTGTAAAATTAAAGTTACGCTTGTTTTTGTTTAAATTTCCCAATTTCCTGAAAACGTAAAAATAAAGACTTTATAATGTTTAACCTCTTAGCCCAATAATTAAACGTTAATTAAGCAAATGGAGATGTAAACGAGTAAAAAAAAAAAAAGAAGAAAGTAGTGTTTTGTTGTTTTGTCTTGTCTTTATGACCTTAAATTTGGACATTCATCATAGAAATTTATTTTTCATTAACCTATTCTTCTATATATGAAAGCATCCATGTACTCCAATTTGTCACAAATTTGGTAGAAGACATATTTATATGTATATATATGGCGTTATGTCATGTCGTTTTTTATCATAAACGGCGATTTCGTTTGTTAATGAAGCAATTAAAACGGAAGTGGAATCTCGATCGAACTTTGCGGTTAGAATGACTTTGGATGACAGTTGCCTCTTTGTTTTTGCATATACAATAATATCACATTTTCATAACTCTTTGCAAATATGCAAGATATGGGCACGACAGACGAGAGTACTTGAAAAAAATTAAAGCGTTCCAATATATAATAAAGGAGAAAGGTGCGAACGAATCTTTTATATCTATCGCCGCTATTCAATAAAAGATTGAAAAAAAAAGAAAAAATATAAATTTGCATACTCTAGAATATTGGTTGGGCCTGGCTGATTTTTTCTATTTTTCTGGAATAATTTTGAGAAAATTTGTATCGCGTATATGTTGGAGTTTCTGAGCAACGACAAAAAGACACGAAAAGCCACGGTATTCTTAGTTCGCATTGTGCAAATTGGCGGGCTTTGTACGCCTCTAAGTAATTTTCAAAATCCTTTGTAAACTTGTAGACGATATTTTCTTTTTTGCTGTCAGACGGATGGATGGATATGCTTAAATCGATTCAGAATTTGATGCTGATCAAGAATATATATATATATATAAACTTTGCATACATTCTAGGCTTGGGTATTACTTACTTTTGATTTATTCTTTCATGGTTTATACTCGGCACCCGGCTTGTCTTCCGGGCTATATTACACAACATTCAGAAGGATATGAGATTGATTCGCTGTCATTAAATCGATCGATTTAGAATCACTTTCTGTATCAGTTACTTTCTAAATTGATTGAAGTATGTATGTCGGTCTATCCCTTTTGTATTGTTGTGTTCAACCTACGATTGGGAATTTTTTAAGATATTTTCATAAAAATTGGTATACCAATGTGTTATGTTTCAGATCGGAACATTCCTGCGACCACATCTAATACAATGTGTTATTTTGATCAATCGTATCTAAATTTCTTAAAACTGAGAATATTTTTTTGCTTTTTAAGAGAAATATTTGAACCTTATATTTTTATTTTTATTTTTACTTTATATTATTTTATATATTAAATATATACACTATTTACTTAACTAGTTCTTCAGGATTTTGTTATCTAAATGTCAACAGCATAACCGGTTATGGTTACACCCGGTGCTATTTCTTCGTCCACATAACTGCCAGCTTCCTCAAATGATTTAGCGGCAGTATTATTATCGAACGAACGCCCCACGGACGATGATTTGTTATCCATGGATTCTTTTAAAGGTGGATTACGTTGACTAAATTTATTTGAGGCAGCATAATTTGATGTGCTTGTACTGGTGCTTTCATCAAAACGTTTGTTACCTGTGCTACGCAGTTTAGGCTGTTGAAATGTGAATTGATCTTGATGGTTACGATCTTCGAAGCGATTAAATTCATAAACAGTACTCGATGCTTCGGTTCGTGGATAATTTGTCTTACGTAGCATGGCTTTAAAATTGAAAGGCGGCTCGTCCGAATTCTATAAAAATATTAAGAATTTTCGATTCCTAATCCAGATATATATTTATCTTTCTTTATTTACCTCATCATTATCGAAGCTACGTCTATTAATGATGTCTTGTAGTTCTCGTACTGGATCCGAGGGTGAGGTAATATACGTATTGCGCTGTTGTTGTTGTTGATGGTGTTGTGGTCTATTCATCGGCGTTCTTTCTCTTTCATTTCGATACATAGGATTCATCGGTGGCATCGGTGGTGGCGGTGGCGCTGCATAATTTTTCAAAGAACTTCGCCTCATACTTTGACGATTAGGATCCCACGTTTGTTGCGGCGGCCCTTGATTATAATTGCTATTATAATTACTATTAAAGTTACTGTTGCTATTGTACATATTGTAATTGCTGTAGGCGTTCATTTGCATTTGCATTTGATTTCTAAAAAGTGATAAAAATGTTAACACAACCTGATGAATTTTCTTTGATTATATTTTTTATTTGCATTTTACCTTTTCAACGTATGCGGATCTCTATAGAAATTTTGATTGTATATGGCGTCACTTTCACCCATGCGATCCCAATTTGTTTGACATGCTTGTTCTTTCTTGTAAGCGTTATAGGTTAATAAACATGAAGTCATGGATGGATTACGTTGCAATGGACTGTCCCAATCTTCTTCCTCATCTAACGGTTTTAAAGGCGATGTGATGATGTTTATTTGGCGTGTTAATGAGTTGGCCGGATCAACCATATACTGAGTATCATAGAAAGGTATCTGATCCAAACGTAGAGGCAGTTTACGTAAAGCTACCTAAAATTTAAATTCAATTTTATTCATGTGATTGTCTCATGCATTCGATTACAAGAGTAGCTTAATTAAGGCTATGATTATCTTGGTATCGTAAGTCTGATGGAACGATA